TTGGGGGGGGGGGGGGGCGAATTTCCTGGGGGGCGACCTTTTTAAAAATTCTATCTTGACCCCCCAAAATTTGAGTTTGCCCCTCAAATGCCCCCCCAAATTTGGAAGCCTGGCGCCGCCACTGAGCCCAGGGCTTATAGTCGGAGGTTTACGGTATTTTGTTCTTAATGCTGAATACCTCAATGGCCTTGGCAATGTTCCTCGAGCATATTCTGCTGGGAAGGATTGGTCAAGCTCTGCCAATCGGTGAACTATAGAACACAAGCTAGAACTAAGATTATATGGCGATCGATTGTTGTAACATATTGTAATAATAAGCTAAGTGCTTAGCCATGCATGCATGATTTCATGATAATATATAATACTTGACAAAACCATGCAACTCTCTAGCCTGTGTCAGTAACAGTATAGTCAACTGGAACACAGGCTATAGTAACACCATACGTACTACTGTGTACTTACTGTAATTTTAGATGTTACAAAATATATTTTTATATACAGTTCATAATACTCTTTGATTATAGCGTATTTGGATAATTAATTGCCTGCAGAATTATTGTTTAACTATTTCGTTTTAGCGTATCTTATTCAGTTGACGCAACATCATTTAACCAACGAAAGTGCGCGATGTTTCGTACTCCGACTTTGACCGTTATTTACTGGTTGTTATAACTAAAAAAATTGGCCAAATCAACCAAAATATTATTGGTGAATATCCGTACCATTTGTATTATAGTTAAAACAACCTATATTTATTTGGTTGAAATATGCTCAATTTGACAGTTTAAATTTTAGTCATTTTAACTTTTGAATATAGGTTGGAATTACTTTTTTTAATTGGTCAAAATAACCATAAATCTTTAGTTCAATCAACCAATAATTAATAGGTTAAAATGACATATTACAGATTTATAGGTTAAAGTAACCATTTTCGATGGTTTGTTTTAACCTATTTCATTTTAGTTGTTTTAACCTATTAAAACAACCTATTTCTTATGGGTATAAACCAACCCATTTTTAATGGTTTGCTTTAACCTATTTATTTCTGGTTCTTTTAACCTATTGAAATAACCTATTTTTATCGGGTTGTCCTAGACCAAACCAAATAACCTATTTTTTTTGGTTATTTTAACCTATCAGTTTTTACATTGTGCTTTTTTACACGCTGTTGAAATACAGGTATGCTCATCGAAATACAGTTGATCATCAATCTCCACACCCAGCAAGATAAGCTTTTCTGTTATCTTAATTTTACGACTGTCTACTTCTATATTCAGTTCTTGCGAATTTTTCGATATGGTCATTGCTTGGTATTTGCTTAAATTTCCTTCAAGGAAATTTTCCGTGTACCAACAGAAGGTTTGTTTTCCATCTCGGGTTATAGTGTCCACTGCTCTCTCTGGTTTTTTATGGGCGTAGTAAAGCTGATGATTATCCGCGTACGCAGATAGCCGACTTTTACGTTCAACATAAAATAAATCGTTCTGGTAGATATTCCATAACGTCGGGCACAAAAAAGAGCCTTGAGGACATCCTCTCTTTGTTTCTTTCCATTCGCTGATTACCTGTCGCATTTTTGTTCTATTCATACGTTAAAACATGATTTCATCAAATCTAACGCGTTTTGAGTGAAACCATAAACTTTGAGTTTAGCTAAGAGTAAAGTGGGATGCAGCGAGTCAAATGCTTTACTCATATCCGTTGACAAAATACTAATTGTTTGCCCTTCATCCATTGCCTGCTTCCAATCCTCGACCAGACGAACGAGTGCGATTTCGCAACTATAATTTTTCCTGTACGCTGAGATAAAAGGATCAAACATATTCTCAAATCTTTGAGACAGCTGCTGACAAAGTAGCTGTTCAAAAATCTTATCTAGTATACTTAATATAGTTACTGGTCGGTAATTAGCCTGATCGGTAATTAGATCGTGATGATCATCCTTCTTGTATGCTGGAATCCATTCCCCCATTTTCCATTCCTGAGGCCATTCACAATATTTGATGACTTGGTTAAATATGTCAGTAAGTGGGATCGCTATCTCTTCTGCCACCAACTTTAAAACCTTAGATGGTATCGCATCATGCCCCGTAGCCTTTCGCGGATTTAATTCCTTAAGGGCTTTAAGAACTTCTTCTCGTTTAATTTCAATAAATGAGAACGAATCTGGTTCAAAACTTGCACGTATAATTTCTATACTCCGATGGTTTATGCATTTCTCCTCAGTCAAATTAGTGGCTTCCTCCCCTCCTATAGCATTAGCCACTGTCGAAAAGTAGTCTGCGAATTCTTCTGCCACTATTCGCTGATCTTGTTCTATTCTGCCTTCAATATTCAAATGGATCTCGTTCGTCTCCCTTTGTCCCTTTAAACTAATGAATGGCATAAACGTAGAAAAGAATTTCCTTGGGTTTTCATTTAATTCAAGTGATATTTCATTCCAGTAGCTCTTAATGGCCTTTCTCCTTAGTCGTGTTGCTTCATTTCTCCACCTTTTCATTAATTCCCACGTTTCACACTTTCTATCCTTACTAAATTTCTTCGCATATTTTCTTCTCTTACGTATTGCCTCTTTCCATTCTGCATTCATGTATGGGACGTCTTTCTTTCTCGCTCTCATTTTCTTCACAGGCATATGTCTGTCTATTACTTCCATGAACCTACTTTTCCAATTGGCGTACCGTTCATTAGTATCATGTGAAAACATTTCATTCCAATTCGTATCGTTTAGGTCCCGCAAGAGTTTCTCCCTATTTAAGTGCTTCGTACTTCTGCACTTAATCACCTTTGCTTCATGTTGTTTAGCTGGACTTTTCTTGAGAAACGAATATACCAGTTTATAGTCACTAAGTCCTAGATCCGTCACACTCGCGAATCCGAATAGATCTGGTCTGTTAGTTAATATCACATCCAATAGAGTTTGTGTTTTTACTGTTACTCTTGTGGCCTCATTAATTAATAGACACTTTAAGTTAAAAATTTCCTCTAGATCTATTAATAATCTGCCCTCAAGCTCGTTTGGTCTTAATCGGTCCAGATTGAAGTCCCCTGCGATCACTATTGTCTGGCACTTCGACGCGGCCCACGATAGTAATTGGTTTAGCTCATCTTCCAGTGTTTTGAAATAATTTTCGCCAGTGTTACGCGGGGGCCTATATATTCCTAGCACAGCAATTTGAAGATTATCGTTTTCATATCCTTGGTTTAGATCTATATTTTAGTGCTAGGTTTTTAAAGTACTAAAACTCGGATAAGGTTTAACAAATTTAAGCTATATTAAAGCACACCGGTTCCTATGTGTTGTTAGGGTGAAACTAATTAAAGGATTAATTTTTATCAGAGATTTGCATTTTCTAATGTGGAGGGCGCATGGCTTTGTGGGCATAAAAATGCACAATAATTTAGATTCAACTGAACACATTTATTTCTTCAAAACGTTTTAAAAAGTTTTATGCTTCTAATATATATCGTCACTCCTAAGATATTACATGATATTCTAAGATATTGTATGATATCCTAGGATATTGATATCCTAACATACTGCATGATATCCTATTGTATGATATCCTAAGATATTGTATGATATCCTAAGATACTGTATGATATCTTAAGATACTGTATGATCCTAAGATACTGATATCCTAAGAGATTGTATGATATCCTAAAATATTGATATCCTAAGAAAATGATATTCTAAGATACTGATATCCTAAAGATATTGATATCCTAAAGATACTGATATCCCAAGAAAATGATATCCTAAAGATACTGATATCCTAAAGATATTGATATCCTAAGAAAATGATAGCCTAAGATATTTATATTCTAAGAAAATGATATCCTAAAGATACTGATATCCTAAGAAAATGATATCCTAAGATACTGATATCCTAAGATATTGATATCCTAAGAAAATGATAGCCTAAGATATTGATATTCTAAGAAAATGATATCCTATGATACTGATATCCTAAGAAAATGATATCCTAAGATATTGTTATCCTAAAGATATTGATATCCTAAGAATATGATATCCTAAAGATACTGATATCCTAAAGATTTTGATATCCTAAGAAAATGATATCCTAAAATATTGATATCCTAAGAAAATGATATCCTAAGATACTGACATCCTAAGAAAATGATATCCTAAGATATTAATATCCTAAAGATATTGATATCCTAAGATATTGATATCCTAAGATACTGATATCCTAAAGATATTGATATCCTAAAGATAAAGATTCAATGATTCACTCTTATGATTCAATGATTCACTCTTATGATTCAATGATTCACTCTTATGATTCAATCTTATGATTCAATGATTCAATCTTATGATTCAATGATTCACTCTTAGGATTCAATGATTCACTCTTAGGATTCAATTATTCAATCTTACGATTCAATGATTCAATCTAGGTTTCTATGAATCACTCTTATGATGCAATGATTCAATCTTACGATTCAATGATTCATTCTTAGGATTCAATGATTCAATATTATACTCCCTAGGCTCGGAGCCGAGCAGAAGCTTCACAGAAGCTTCACAGAAGCTTTACAGAAGCTTTAGAAAAGCTTCATAGAAGCTTCACAGAAGCTTTAGAGTCGAGCTCCTTAGACTCGGAGCCGAGCTCCTTAGGCGGGGAGCCGAGCTTTTTTGGCTCCGTGCCGAGCTCCATAGGCTCCGAGCCGAGCTCCATAGGCTCGGAACCGGCTCATCAGGCTCGGAGCCGAGCTCCTCAGGTTCAGATTCGAGCTTCTTAGGCTCGGAGCCGAGCTCCTTAGGCTCGGAGCCGAGCTCCTTAGGCTCGGAGCCGAGCTCCTTGGGCTCCGTGCCGAGTTCCATAGGCTCCGAACCGAGCTTCGTAGGCTCGGAACCGGCTCCTTAATCTCAGAGCCCAGCTCTTTAGACTCGGAGCTAAGCTCCTTATAAGGCTCGGAGCCGAGCTCCTTGGACTCCGAGCCAATGGAGCTCGACTTGGAAACTATGGATCTCGGCTCGGAGCCCAAGGTGCTCGGCTCTGAGCCTTATAAGGAGCTTAGCTCTGAGATTAAGGAGCCGGTTCCGAGCCTACGAAGCTCGGTTCGGAGCCTATGGAACTCGGCACGGAGCCCAAGGAGCTCGGCTCCGAGCCTAAGGGGCTCGGCTCCGAGCCTAAGGAGCTCGGCTCCGAGCCTAAAAAGCTCAAATCTGAGCCTGAGGAGCTCGGCTCCGAGCCTAATGAGCCGGTTCCGAGCCTATGGAGCTCGGCTCGGAGCCTATGGAGCTCGGCACGGAGCCCAAAGAGCTCGGCTCCCCGCGTAAGGAGCTCGGCTCCGAGTCTAATGAGCTCGACTCTAAAGCTTCTGTGAAGCTTCTATAAAGCTTCTGTAAAGCTTCTGTAAAGCTTCTGTGAAGCTTCTGCTCGGCTTCGAGCCTAGGGAGTATACGATTGAATCATTGAATCCTAAGAGTAAATCATTGAATCGTGAGATTGAATCATTGAATCATAAGAGTGATTCATAGAAACCTAAGATTGAATCATTGAATCGTAAGATTGAATCATTGAATCCTAAGAGTGAATCATTGAATCCTAAGAGTGAATCGTTGAATCATAAGATTGAATCATTGAATCATAAGAGTGAATCATAAGAGTGAATCATTGAATCATAAGAGTGAATCGTTGAATCTTTATCTTTAGGATATCAATATCTTTAGGATATCAGTATCTTAGGATATCAATATCTTAGGATATCAATATCTTTAGGATATTAATATCTTAGGATATCATTTTCTTAGGATATCAGTATCTTAGGATATCATTTTCTTAGGATATCAATATTTTTAGGATATCATTTTCTTAGGATATCAAAATCTTTAGGATATCAGTATCTTTAGGACATCATATTCTTAGGATATCAATATCTTTAGGATAACAATATCTTAGGATATCATTTTCTTAGGATATCAGTATCATAGGATATCATTTTCTTAGAATATCAATATCTTAGGCTATCATTTTCTCAGGATATCAATATCTTTAGGATATTAGTATCTCTAGGATATCATTTTCTTAGGATATCAATATCTTTAGGATATCAATGTCTTAGGATATCAATATCTTAGGATATCAGTATCTTAGGATATCATTTTCTTTGGATATCAGTATCTTAGGATATCATTTTCTTAGAATATCAATATCTTAGGCTATCATTTTCTTAGAATATCAATATCTTTAGGATATCAGTATCTGTAGGATATCATTTTCTTAGGATATCAATATCTTTAGGATATCAATATCTTTAGGATATCAGTATCTTAGGATATCATTTTCTTAGGATATCAATGTTTTTGGATATCATACAATCTCTTGGGATATCAGTATCTTAGGATCATACAGTATTTTAAGATATCATACAGTGTCTTAGGATATCATACAATATCTTAGGATATCATACAATAGGATATCATGCAGTATGTTAGGATATCAATATCCTAGGATGTCATACAAAATCTTAGGATATCATGTAATATCTTAGGAGTGACGATATATATTAGAAGCATAAAACTTTTTAAAACGTTTTGAAGAAATAAATGTGTTCAGCTGAATCTAAATTATTGTGCATTTTTATGCCCACAAAGCCATGCGCCCTCCACATTAGAAAATGCAAATCTCGGATAAAAATTAATCCTTTAATTAGTTTCACCCTAACAACACATAGGAACCGGTGTGCTTTAATATAGCTTAAATTTATTAACCTTATCCGAGTTTTAGTACTTTAAAAACCTACCACTAAAATATAGAAATCGCTTGACAATTATATATGACCTTTAATTAACTTCCATGTGTTTATATAACTCAAGATAGCAATAAATTCATTTTAAAACTGAAACCTTGTGCAAACTTTTGCCTGCAAAGCCGCTTTTCCGCCCGCGCAAACCGCCCGCCTGATTAGTGTACAAATATGTTGTACGTTAATATATGCATGCACCCAAGCGTCGCTAATAACTTAGCAACACATAACAACGTATATAACGACTACATGTTTTTATCGCAAAAATTTGTTACAACTGTTCCAATTCTAACTTATATTCTTCATTAGCTTACTTATGATCTGACTCCGTCATCTTAACAGTATATATGTATGTAGAAGACTTGCTAAATAAAGTTGAACAACATGCAAATATTGACCTTAACAACGACGTTGGACACCCAGGATTAGTAACTGTTTAGTTCTGCTTAATTAAAATATGTCCTGATTTTTGTGACGAATAGATTCCTCTCTATAATTTTTTAAACATACGAAAAATCCTTCAAATACTCGTGGAAATGTATCTCTTCCGAGCAAAGATACGGCTATGACTCCGCTATATATTAATAATATTAACCTTAACAACGGCGCTGACAACCCGGGATTAGCAACGCTAATTGGTCGCATGTCACATAAACGGTAACGAAGTAACCAGTCATTACCCAAACGATGTAGATGAATAAACGGCAGCGAAATAGCCTGACATAAACTGAAAATTGCTGTAGTAACAAACGACAGAGAAGTAGACAGAAATCAGAACTAAAAATTGTAGATCAACAAACGGCAGCGGTTCAAAAATATCAAGTAAGCTCAAATAAATTAAAATGACATGAATAAATTAAACAACTGATGACGTCATGGGCGGTGCTTCGTGCACCGCCTGCACCGCCTGCACCAAACCCCCACTCTCTATACTACTGACATGGATTTAATATTACATATACATTGTAATTCCGTGATGGATGGTTAAACATGGTTACCATGGAGTCGTATGTTGTGCAAAATATGCAACCGAATTGAGTAAACGTGCTAAGAGTGACAGATGTACCATCGGCAGTTATTGACCAAACCCTCAATACTGCGTCAGCTGCCTTTTCCAAGGCCATCCTAACCAGCTGTGCTTGGGTTTTAGCATTCATTTTATCAGCCAGAAAATAACCAATCGGACACTTCCACCGGGTTCGTGTTCCAACCAATATGAAAACTAATGCTTCAGATGCAAGGGTTTCAGGATCTTCAGGTGGTACCATGCCATAATTCACAAAACCCGAGTACTGTTCTTTCTTTGGGTCCCACAATGTTTGTTTCCTTATTGACATGGCATCAATATTGAGACCAAAATCTTTCTTCGATGGTGTTTTATCTGCCTCACTTTGCAACGATTGGATCGAATACCTTCTGCAGGAAACCTGACTCACAGTCAACTGAGCTTGTCCATTTTCGAACCAAAGATGGGTTTGACAGTGGTATGATTGACCTCACATATTCATATGCCTTTGGTGAATAAAAGTATAATGTTAGAGAGAATTCTTTGATGTCGTCTGTGTATCGTCTGCCACATGGGGAGATAGTGGTGTTGTTTTTGGCATTGTGGAAAATGGACAGTTGTAATTTATCAAATGAAGCATGCCATCTGTCAGCAATTTCGGTTTTGACAATCAAGTTCTGCTCTAAGTTGTTGATCACATCTGACATGTTGGCAATTTTTGATTTGCATTGACACAGTTGTTGCTGTAAGTTTCTTACTTTTGATTTCAATTGTTTATTAGATATTTATGTATCGTTGCTTCCCATTCTTAAGACTTTTTCATAATTTTTGTTTATATGCACTTTTGCTGGTTGTGGGGTGTCCTGTTGACTGACTCGTTCCCGTGCTGTGTGTACCGGCATGTTGTTGCATTCTGTTTGTAGCCGTCTTGTTGCTTCATCCGAGATGTGGCATGAAAATAGGTCAATCTTGAACAATGAGGGTATGGCACTTCTTTTAAGCCTGCATGAAACTGTATCAGCTGTTGGGGCTTGAATGTAGTCATCCTTTTCAAAGTGCTTGCTGCAAATAATAATTTAATAATAATAATAATTTAATAATTTATTTGCACACATACAATTACATAAGAGAAAAATACAAGAAAGATAGAAAAAATACTGTAAAATAATGTGCAAAATTACCTATAATAACCATAAAGGGCTAATCTAGATAGGTGATCTGCTAAACAACGTCTATAAGTTAAGTGCACGCATAATAATTAAGTTAGAGGAAAAAATATTGTTAAAATGGCCGTAAAATTATCATTTTAATATGAAGCAATCAAAAATAATTTAAGTCGCTTTTTGAACACTTGTTTATCTAGCATTTTCAGGGACTCCTCAATAGAATTCCATAAATGTGGACCACAATATCTAACATTAAAGATACCATAGTTCGATCTTAGCTAGAACATACGATAATTCAGATGATAGCCTAGTATTGTAGTTATGAACATTCACCACTTTTTTGAAAAAATCAGAAAAAATAAGGGGAAGAGTACCATGATGAAATTGATACATTGTAACGTGGCAGTGTTATACCATGTTATTTAATATATTCAATACTATATTCAATACTATATATTCAGTATACGGTTATAATTATAAGAGGAAGACCTTAGGCAACCTTCCTCGCATGAATAAGCAAATATTTAGAGAGATTAAAGAACCACGGGAAACGCCTAGTACCACAAACCACGCAAACAGGACATAGTTTTGTGGTTGATAAACACTGCTAGAACTTGCTTTGACAAACATATTGCGTAGGGGAAATTAGTCATAGTTACAGATTTCTTCCTCTAAAATTTATTATAAAAGCTGAGCACAACCTGAGAGTCGAGGGCGGAGAGTGAAGTGAGAAGAGCCATTTAGGCTAAAATACTTCATAAGCCAACAAAGGCTGAAGTATATAATTAAAAGGCTAGATAATTAAGCCTCGTCAAGTAAACTGAAGAACATTGTAATATTGTGGAATAATTATTATTAAAGAAGACGGAATACAAAGTGTAAAGAATAAAGATTCAAAGTTGTGCTCAGCTCAAACAAATAGAGAGATAAGTTGATATATTAAGATTACTATATTATTATAACATTATAGAGACGCTAATTCATATTGTTGAAAGTAAATAAAATATATAAAAGGTATAAGGTTTCATGCTATTTGTGTTACGGTAGCGTTAATATAATTTGAACCCGAAGCCTAAAGGTTGAAAATATACCTAATTGGAAAATATATTTGACGCATAAATAACGCACCATAACAACATAAATAAGACTGTCAAATAATGAACTATATCAGGGAATTTTAATAAGTTTAATTCTTTAAAAAGAGGAGAAGAGTGGGTTCTAGGAGGTGAAAAAGTTATAATACGTATTGCCTTTTTTTGTAATAAAGTCAACGGTAAAATGTTAGATTTGTAAGTATTACCCCATACAATAGCACCATATATTAAGAATGGGTAAATTATAGAGTAATAAATCTGAATTAATAATTCAATATGAACAAAGCTACGAAGCCTTAATAATATTCCAATACCACGGGATATCTTTTTTACAAAGTTCCTTAATATGTTCCTTCCAACTAAGATTAGAATCAATAATTGCTCCTAAATATTTTAAACTACTTTTTTGAGCGAGAACTTCATTATTGATAGAAAGACAAACATTTTGATTAAATTTCTTTTGAAAAGGGTGAAAAATAACAAAGTGCGATTTATCAACATTTAACGATAATTTGTTGGCACATAACCATTTATGGATATTAGTTAATTGTTGATTCAAATGCAATTCAAGAAACGACAATTTATTGTCAGAGTAGAAAAGATTTGAGTCATCGGCAAAAAGATAAAAATCTAATAAATCAGATTAGCTATTAAAATCATTGATATATATTAAGAAAAGTAAAGGACCCAATACTGAGCCTTGTGGTACACCACATACAACTTCATTAAGATTAGATTTTACATTACCAACAGAAACAAACTGTTTTCTAGCTTTCAATACGAATTAAACCATTTAATGGTTATACCTCTGATTCCATACTGCTGCAATTTTTATAACAAAATAGAATGATCAACTGTATCAAACGCGCTTTACAGAAATCAGGAAATATTCCACAAGAAACAAGTTTCTCTTCAATTGCTCTTTGAATTTTATCAACAATAAGAATTAAAGCATGTGATGTAGAATGATTTTCCCGAAAACCAAACTGTGCAGGAAATATAACATTATTTTTGTTAAGAAAATTTATCAGCCTAATATACATCAATTTTTCTAGCAGTTTACTAAATACAGAAAGTAAAGAGATTGGTCGATAATTAGATAAATACGAAGTTGGACCTTTTTTATAAATGGGTACAACTTGTGCAATTTTAAGATTGTCAAGTACAATTCCAGTTGAAAATGAACAATTAAAGATATAACTTAATGGTAAAGATACATGGGTTTTGATAATCTTCAATAAATTAATTGGAACACTAAATGGTCCAGTTGATTTATCTAATTTTAAGTTTATAATTAAATTTTCAATCTCATAACGATCAGTTGAAAAAATCATAAAGCTATTACTTAAAGGCCTTTTAAGAAAACTATTACAAGTAGAATTAACACTAGGAATATTTATTATGCACTTCAATTAATGTTGGAAAGGTATGATTAGCTTTTTTTTAATGTTATTATTTGTTTAATTCCCTTCCAAACATCTTTAATGTTATCCTTTCACAATCGAAAATAATTGTTATAGTAATTCTTTTTACTTATAAGCAATAAATGTTTTAATTTATTCCTAAATGATTTAAATTTTGATAAATAACGATGATTTTTTGTCTTAAAATATAATTTATAAAGTTTATTTTTATTTTTAATTGAAGTTCTCAAACCTTTTGTAATCCATGGTTTAGTTAACCATTTAACTTTATTTTTGGACATTTTTTTAAAGGAACATGTTTATCAATAATTGTAATAAGTTTCTCATAAAAAGTATTAAATGCAGTATCTACATCATCGGTATTTGTAACAGTATTCCAATCCATAGCAGAGATTTCTTCATTAAAATCTTCTTCATTATAGTGTGAATAATTTCTTATAAAAATTTCTTTATTATATGTTTTATAGTTCAGTTTACTTACAATAAGAAAGTTTGGAAAGTGATCAGAGATGTCATAAATAAGATTCCCACTGACAGTAACATGCATTGTTCAATAGAATTAAAATAAATGTTATCAATCAATGTAGCAGAGTGGTCAGTAATTCGAGTGGGTTGAAGAATATATGGTTGAAAGAAATAGGAAGACATTGTATTGAGAAAGTCATCAGTACCATCATGAGACTCAAAGTTTAGCTAGTAAATTAATATTAAAATCACCCATTATTACACAAAATTTTTGTTCATTTGGAATCTTATAGATAACATTAAAAAGGTAATCAGAAAAATTTTCCAAATTACTATGAGGATGCCGGTAAATTACTAGACAAACAGTGTTTCGTTGATTATTGTTATGAATTTCAACTGACCAATAATTCAAAATCATTAGTAGTTATAGTGAAATCATCTCTGGTATGTAAACTAATGTTTTTCTTTATGTAGAAAGCTACTCCACCAGCATTAGACCAAGTGGGCTGGGAAATAAATGAATAATTATGCATCGAAATATTAATAATTAGATCTTTATGCAAAATAATTTTGGTTTCAGAAATCCCAATTACATCAAATTCAAAATTCAAGTCAGATAACAAAGTTATCCGGCTGTTATGGTTGGCAGATAGGCTTCTTATATTACAATGGAGTAAAGAGAATGAAGATTCAGATTCTATTTGACTTATATTAGATGCATTTTGAAATTCAGATGTCGAATAGTAATTAAAATTGATATCAGGTAATAAATGATCTTCCACATCATATCCAACTAAATTAGGTGAGTTTGTAAGTCTAGAAATTAATTGAAATTTTGGTAAATTATTAAAATTAATCATCTAATAGAAAAAGTTCAAGATTAAAGACATTTAATATGAAAGAAATAGTACTTAATAAAACTATGCTGTGCTGCCCTCCATCCATTTCCATAATTTTTTACTCTCTTGACCATTCCTCCCATTTTCACAACAGCTCCTTATTCTTCAAGGGGAATCTTAAAGTTTATATTATTATACTGTAAATGTAAATTGTCAGACTATGTATATACTGTGTGTAGATATGTTGGTAAATAAAACATTATGCAATTATTTCCTGATTTTTTTTGGTTTCCTTTGTAAACATTAAGCATGCACATATAGACCACCTGTGGTAGGTTATATGCTCTATGTGTTCCTCGTCTTCCTTATATTTTTCACTCCTGCATTCACAAACATCACAGCTATAAGGCATAGCCTTTTTTAGAAGCAAAACACACTTCGGTTTTACATTTTTCTCGCCTTTAAAATTAGCTTTTGAATAAACCTGCTGTGAAAACTTTGGCTCTGACTTGAGCTATCGACTGACAGTAGCAATCATAGCAATACATTGACAATATTTTTATCAATGTTCAAATGCTTTTTTTTCGACGTTAAAACGTTCAATCTTCTTGAAACTTCGCATACAGATGTATTTTGCATGGGTTTATATAATTCCGGAGTTATGACGTATTAGTTTTATCTTAAACTTCCAAAAACTCAGAAAAGCAGCCTAAAACGCG